CTACTACTACTACTACTACTACTAAAAATATTATTATTATTACTGCTATTATTATTATTATTATTATAATTTTAATATTAATATTATTATGATTCATGTAACATGATATGTATCATTTGCTATACATTTTGGGTGTCTCCGATTGTGTTGTTTCAGCCGTATTTGTAATCTCACGGCGAAGATAACACGCATCTTACGTATCATCTTTAAATTTACGCTCGAAATTTTACGTCCTAAATTTTAAATAAGTGTATAGGATGTTATGACATTGTGTAACAGGGGGGGGGGATTGCGGTATCCGTGGTGGTTAAGAACTACTGATGTGCACCAATAACATATCAATAACCAATATCTCATCCAAAACATTTACAAGAACATCGTCTTCGTGATTCAGCTCCGTATTCACCTTCCTGTTGTCATGACACTACGTAATACATTGCGCCGCATTTCTCCCGCGACACTTGTTGCTCTGCAAACCCTCGCGACCGACCAGTCGCCGAGAATCAATCAATCGCAACGGTTCAATCGCAACGATCGCATCAATTTTTTTCATAGCTGAACCGTGCGATCGCAATCGCTGCCGACTGCCCGAGTGTCGCTGCAGCGGCGCCGACATTCCTGGCGACCTGCTCGCGAGCGAGACGCCGCAGATGGTGCTCATCATGTGGGACAACTCGATCCGCGTGGCCGACTACGCGCATTTATACCAGCAGGTGCGGCAGGCAGCAGCGCGCACCGGGGGACGAAGATGACGGCGATAACGATGACGATAGCGATGATGATTGCTACGATGATGACGACGACGGCGAGAACGATGATGACATCAACGACGACGGACGACGACAATAACGATGATGACGGTGCCAATGATGTCGATGATGACGATTACGACGATGGGGACGACGACGACGACGACGACGACGAGACAAACCCATAAGCGATCCTGACGATGATGATGGCGATGGCGATGATAACGAGGTGACGACAACATCGACGACTATTGTTATGATGATGATAATGTTTATGCTGCTGTTGCTGCTGCTGATAATGATGATGCTGACGACGACGACGAAGACGGTGATGATGATGACGGCGATGATGATGACGGCGATGATGCAACTTCGTGAAATGCGATCGTCAACCTCACAGCTAACGGACTGCGGTGGTTTAATAGATAATTTACTTCTCATTCGAGCAGGTATTCAGCAAGGTTGACGAAAGACGGGCCCGGAACAGGAGGCTTAATCCAAACGGATGTCCGGTGGCCGGCACTTTCTTTGCGACGCATCAGTTCACGGACTATGCAGCCGTGCAGTCGCTATTTAAGCATGGACACGAGATCGCCGCGAACACTATCACGTACGTATTACTAACGCCCTCTATATGTGGTCAGTGTAGCTAATGACGAAATATATTGTTATAGCTGGACCCCGAGAGAAGATTTGGGAGAATTTAACACGCGCAGGAAAATGCGTGGGGGGGAAAGCAGGTTAGATGTTAGTTCAACGATCCGGCGCATGCAGATGATGGATTAAATAATTAAATGGATTTAAATTACACAAATACATATTAAAACATTAAAAAATGTGCGATTAAATTAGTACTACAATGTCTAACGACAGTTCAAAGTGATAGAACGTAATCACTGCTGATTCTGCTATCGAATTATTAGAACCGGTATTATATATCTGCGATTACAAATCTGCATTGAAATCAATCGACAAAATGCTTGCGTCCTTTTCCTTAGCGGTACATTCGATCTGTACGCTGACGGATGGAGACAGGCGAACGCTCAGCGCTGGTCCAGAGAGCTCGGTCTACAGCCATCGATGCTTTCCCGCTTTGCCAACATACCCGATAGCGAGATCCGCGGGGCGCGCGCCCCCTACATTCAACCGGGCGGCAACCAGCAGTTCATGGCCGTTATGGAGAACGGCTTTCTGTACGACTCGAGCCTCGTCACTCTCCAGATGGACCCGCCGATCTGGCCCTACACGCTCGACTATCTATCAGAAGCCGGCTGCCTCGTGAAGCCGTGCCCGACGTCTTCGTTCCGCGGCGTCTGGGAGGTGCCACTCGTCGCCTGGCTCGATACGAACGACACGTTCTGTAGCAACGTCGACAGCTGCTACTTCCCCAACGACAAGGAGGAAGCCCTCACGCTGCTGAGATCGAACTTCCGGCGCCATTACGACAGCAATAGAGCGCCCTTCGTGATGTCCCTGCGACCAAGGTATTGTCATAGTATGCGATCGAAAGCGATTACGGCTAACTTTTTAAGTATATGCGACGTGCTTTTAACTGCTTTCAATATATCTTTTGGTTGAGTGTTTGCTATAGCTTCCGTTTGTTGTTGTTGTTGTTGTTGTTGTTGTTGTTGCTGTTGTTGTTGTTGTTGTTGTTTTAGTAGTAACAACAACAACATCGACGACGACGATGACGACAAAGACGACGACGACGACGACGACTCTTTCATCTGTCTTCTTTTTCTTGTTTCCTTTTTTTCTTTGGCTGATAATGACTTCTGCGGCAGCTGCTTCTGCGTTGTTGTAAATGCTCCTGCTCTGGCATGCTGTAGTATCAACGCTGTGTTTCAGGTGGTTCTACGAAGCTTACTATAACCTGGAAGCACTGCAGGAGTTCATGGACGAACTGCAAGCACTTGATGACGTCTATTTCGTTACCGCGACGCAGGCGCTTAACTGGATCCGTCGGCCAACCCGCTTGGCTGACGTAAAATCATTCGACGGTTGGTCATGCGACGCACCCCCGCCGTCAATGTGTGACCGCCCCTCACTCTGTGGCTACTTCAACATTACATATCGGCCGAATTCAGAGGAGCACCAGGGAGACCGCTTCTTCCAGACGTGCAACACATGTCCGGCTGAATATCCATGGCTAGATAACCCTCTCGGCCAGTAGGTGCCGCGCACACGCGCATGTACTGCTGGCGCCATCTTCAGCTGGAATCGTTAAACCTAACTGAAACCCACGAACGAGTATTTGTAAGAGGTGTCTTGGAGGTGTGTGTAACCTGGTGTTGTGCACGATACCTCTAAAATGTGCCAGCCATTCACACCACTAGTTAATCCAATATCTCGATTTATAACAATCCGTAGCTAGCTGATGACCGTAACTGTACCAGTGTATTTGAGATATTTCTTGCAATTTTTAATCTAGCTTTATCTTATATATATTTAGTTTGGGCTCGAGAGGTATCATCATCATAATGGCATAGTGCCTATAAGCAAGTACGAAGTCTATAACATGCAAATTGCACCCGTTAGGTTTTATTAAAATGGCTTAAAGTCTTTTTATATAGAGTCCAGCTTATTTAATAGCAAAATTGTAAATAGTGCAACAAACGCACTTGAATTTAACAAACGAGTATTTCTCGTATTAGGCACGATTAGTCAACAGTATCCAATTACTTGCAAACTCAATTACTTGCAGACTTGTTTTAAATACGCTCTAACATTATAACGCCAATTGTAAGAACATTATGCATTGCGGGCTTTGCCACCAAGACTACATAAGTGTAGCTGTGTATGGATTTCCTTGTCACCTCGCTGATTAGAACAATTGGAACGACAAGTCTTATGTTAAGTTTTAACCGACACGCAATGACACCCAGTGCGCGAATCAACGTACGATTTAGAACGAAACTTTTCCAGCATACAGATAAACGAGGATTTAACTTCAATCACAATCAACAGAGCAGAGTTTACGTTAATACGGTAACTGCGTATCTACAAGTAATTTATGTGAAACTCAATTCAAAACTGTGAATTTTGGGTCAGACCTTATGTGATATAGAATAGAAAATGTATAGTTAAAAGTGAGATGCTCGTCTGTTTATCTCAGAAGAGGCGTGAAGGTTGAGCTTCGCGCTTAAAATATTAAGTAAGTTGTTCGTTTAACACGAATCGCGTTCAATTTACTTGCGACCTAAACGATTTAATTGTGTAAATAACATGTTTATTACCGGGGAAAATGCATTTATATCGTCCGATTTTCTACGTACTGCGTGAGCCATTTTAGACAGACTTCTCTCATTTTAATTAGGACCGATAACCCGATTGTTATCTAGAGCGTCACAGAGTCCGTAGGGTAGTGTTATATATATATATATGTAATATATATACTGTATATGTAAATATATATATATATACCGTATAAATAAGTATCATATATATATATATATATATATATATATATATATATATATATAATGTGTACACTTAAGTATGTACTTAGACGTACAATTTCCAGTGTAGATTTACGTTGTTGTACTGTAGGCAGTTCACGAATTTGTTACATAAGTTTATAAAGATCGTGCTTATGCATTAGATTGGCTGTACAAATTTGACTAGTATGCTGACTGACCTTGCTCAGCCGTAGACGTTACGTATGCTAGTGTTGTTATTTATTCGCAGAACGTGGATGACACTAATGTGTGTGAATATAGAGACAGTATTGTAACGATTGTCTATGCTACGAATACTAGCAAGAATTTACTTACTTATTATTTAATCCACGGGCAGACTGCGAGAAACAACCGCTGTCGTATCTCACTTTTGCTAACAGAGATGATTATATTACACCTAGTGTGCGTGAAAATCAAAGTGACGATTCTATGTAATAAAATGATCGTAAATGCTAAATTTACCTACGCAGCGTTGAATTTACTCTCAGCCACTATCTCTTCGTCCTTCATCCAGCCTGATTGTATCATTTCAATCCAACCTGCAACTTTATAATATTATAATCTGACTGACAGTAAAACTTAGTAAAGCAGTACAGCCTAGTAAGACCAATATGGCGATTTGTGATGTCCACCTAATGCTGGTTACCCACACTCTTTTTGAATGCATAAAATTAGCACAAGAGCATTTCCCTTGGGCAATGAGGCGCTGATATGCCCACACGTCCATCCCGATACATTACTATAAGTATGGGTGAAAGTTAGGGCAATGCTGCCCAGGTAAAGTAGCGAGATCGCAAATTGCGATGCGTACCTACTGCTGCTCGGCCACACTTTCTTTTGAATACAAAGGATCGGCTGAAGAACATTTCCTTTAGGCGATAAAGCGTGGAGATGCACGCACCACCACTCTCATACGTTGTGGGAGAGGAGAAAGACACGTCATTGCCGCATAAGTGAAATGACAATGTAATGATTTGCAAGGCGCACATGCTTCTGGTCCGCCACACTCTCATTAAATACATGAGATCGGTCCAAAAGCATTTCTTTTGGACAACAACGAGCCGGGATTCCTGCACCCACATTTCTATATGGGACTGCTATCGGGAGATGAGGCGATGCAGTCGAAAGACGGTCTATCAAAACATGATAATATAAATTCACCCGGTCACGTCTGCCAAGGATGCGCGCGCGCAACACAAATACCTTTCATACGATTCGTCATCCTGAAAACGTACAACTGTCCTTCGCATGTCCGTTCACAGGTCAGCGTGGTTCCCGCTTGTTTCTTCTTCTTCATCTTCTTATTGTTATTCTTATTCCTCTTCCCGCTTTTGTTTTCCGATTGCGTTAAGTGTACCACGTCCCGAGCCGTGTGGCCGAATGCCAGATCACCGAGCAGGAAAGCTAGGAGATTTTTGTGACAGTCAACCGTGACAGACGGACGAGCGCCGTGTTCCTGTACATTAAGATCGGCATAGCCAGGTGTACCAGCCCGAAACTAACCGGAACCGGAACCGAAAGCGGAACGAAACCGGCTGGACGCTTCTAAGTGCGCATGCGCGCAGGCGCCTCTTGTTTTGCAAGGGCGCACACAGCGCATGCGCAATATGCTCATTAGTCATTTGCGCATCTTGCTCTTCGACACGGTCGAAATAAACAAACATGGCGGATGACAACCCTGTCACTGATGGAAACATTTGATTGAAACAATTTGCAATATGTAGTAAATTAGTAAGACTGTGTTATGTGTGTCAGGTTACAAAGCGAAACAAAAGAAAACAAAAGAGCATGTCTACTATTTCCTACGGCCGTGCAAAACAAGATTCAAACAAAAAGAAAACGAGAGCAAAACAAAAGAGCATGCCTGCGGAGCGTCCAAATACTACGAGCGTCCAAATACGCCGGTACAGGGCGCAGGGCGCAGGGCGCAGGGCGCGATGCTGCGAACAAAGTGAATATTATAGATCGGATTTTACCAAGCACACGTACTGTCGGACCGTCCGGCTCAACTTTGAACGTTCAAGTACGGCCGAAGAAAATTATCTTGGCAGTCAACGGTGACCGACGCACGAGCGCCATCTTCATGCATATTCGCATAGCTGCATGGGAATCGTGGCGCGATGCTGCGAGCAAAGTGAAGCATGTAGATCAGAGTTTACCATGCACACGTGCCGTCGGCCCGCCCGCGACTAGTTTGAACCTATGAGAACGGCCGAAGAAAATTATCTTGGCAGTCAACGGTAACCGACGCACGAGCGTCATCTGCACGCACATTAATATCGGCATAGCGGGGAACCCAGGGCGTGATGCTACGTATAAAGTGAATATTATAGACCGGATTTTACCAAGCACACATGCTGTCAGCCTGCCCGGCTCCGGTTTGAACGTATAAGAACGGCCGAAGAAAATTCTCTTGGCAGTCAACGGCGACCGACGTCGGAGCGTCATCTGCACGCACATTAATATCGGCATAGCGGGGAACCCAGGGCGTGATGCTGCGAGCAAAGTGAATATTATAGACCGGATTTTACCAAGCACATGTGCTGTCAGTCTGCCCGGCTCCGGTTTGAACGTATAAGAACGGCAGAAGAAAATTCTCTTGGCAGTCATCGGCGACCGACGTCGGAGCGCCATTTTCATGCATATTCGCAAAGCCGGGAATCGTGGTGCGATGCTGCGAGCAAAGTGAAGCATGCAGATCAGATTTTACCATGCGCACGTGTTACCCCCCTCGGCCCCACTTTGAACGTGTAAGAACGCCTGAAGAAAATTCTTTTGGCAGACAACGGTGACCGACGCACGAGTGCCATCTTGATGTACGTTAATATAGGCATAGCGGGGAACCCACTGTGTGATGCTGCGAGCAGAGTGAATATTATAGAGCGGATTTTACCAAGCACACGTGTTGTCGGCCCGACCGGCTCTGTTTTGAACGTATAAGAACGGTTAAAGCAGTGCCACCACGTTGAAGTAGCGAGATTGCATTTTTTCGATGCGCACCTTTTCTAGGCATACCGCACTCTAGATTAAATGTTTAACGTCGGCCCTAAGTCATTTCCTTTGGGCAACACGTCGCCAGCGTGTCCGCGCCCTATTCATGTACATTACCATATACCTGCGGCTGAGCAGTGCTACCACACTAAAGTAGCAAGAGTGAATTTTTCGATGCGCACCGTCTCTAGTCATGCCACGCTCCTGTGTAAATGCGTCAGCCCCAATTAATTTCCTTTGGGCGACAGATCGCCCACGTATCCGAGCCCTATCACTGTACATTGGTGTAACCATAGACCTTCGGTAGAGCAGTGCCATCACATTAAAGTAGCAAGATTGCATTTTCCGATGCGCACCCATTCTCGTGTGTGTGTGTGTTCGTGTGCGTGTGCGTGTGCGTGTGCGTGTGCGTGTGCGTGTGCGTGTGCGTGTGCGTGCGTGTGCGTGTGCGTGTGCGTGCGTGCGTGCGCGTGCCTGTGTGTGTTTGTGAGCGTGTTGACAGTCTTACTTTATTACCTCCGCCAGGGGCTTGGCGGAGGTTATGTTTTCAACGGCGTGTGTTTGAGTGTTGGTTTGTGGGTTTGTGGGTTTGTGGGTTTGTGGACGCTCGCTGATTGGCTGATTGGCCCGCCACCGCCGCCGCCGCCGCGCCGGAACCGCCTGTATCATACAGGTTAAGCCTAACTGAAAAAGTTATGGACGGATTGTCATAAAATTTTCAGGATACGTCAGAAATGGGCAACTTAGAATTGATTACATTTTGTGGTGATCCGGATCATATTAATTAATTACTAATTAATTAATTAATAAATTTCAGGATAGGTCAGAAATAGGGTAACTTAGAATTGATTACATTTTGGTGGTGATCCGGATCCAATTGAATTATTTAACTAATTAATTAATTAATTTTTCCACTTAATTAATTAATTAATTAATAAAAAATTTCATATTGAGAGAATTCAGCTGCCTTGGCAGAGGTCTGTGCTCTCCGAGTGCTCTAGTTTATAAATATAATACCTTAAAAACATACCGCGAGTTGTTGTTCTCGGGTTCTATTCCGTACTTAACCAGTGATAAGTCAGAAAATCTACACAAGCATGAAAAGTGAGGCAAAGCATCATGCTGCAAGACCCGTTAGCCGAAAAAGGAAAAGACAATTAGTATGAGCCTACAGCATATACTGTGATGTGACTTACATATTATATCTGATCTGGTTAAGTCACGATTCACAGAAAGTCTGTTCGACTATAGTACCCGTGCTGACGTCTACGTGTACGTGCGCGTGCGTGCGTGAGTGTGCGTGCCTGTATGGCATGACTGTGTGTCTGTGTTTGTATTTGTTTATTTAGCTGTGCGAGTCGTTCTTCTGTCCGTCTATCACTGCGTCTGTACGTCCGTCTGTCCGTCTGTCCGTCTATCCGTCGGTCCGTCAGTCCGTCTATACCGCCGTCGGTCAGTCGGTTAGTCCGTCCGTCCGTCCGTTCGTCTGTCCCTCGGTCCGTATGTCCGTCGTTCCGCCGGTCCGTCTATCCCTCCGCCCGTACGTCCGTCTGCCCGTCCGTCCGATTGTCAATCTGTTCCTCTGTCCGTCTGTCCGTCTGTCCGTCTGTCCGTCTGTCCGTCTGTCCGTCTGTCCGTCTGTCCGTCTGTCCGTCTGTCCGCTCGTCCATTAGTCCATCTGTCCCTCTGAACACGCTGTTTATCAATCCGTCCACCAGCACATCTATTCATCCATCTATCTATTCGTACATCCATCCGTCTGTCCGTCTGTCTGTCCGTCTATCCGCATTTCCATTTGAACGTTTGCCCGTTGAACGTTAGTGAGCATGTTGACAGTTTTACTCGTCTACTTAAAATATCGTACCTGAAAAACATACCGTGAGTTGTTGTTCTCGGGTTCTATTTGGTACTTAAACCAGTGATGAGTCAGGAAATCTGCGTCATCTGAAATTACAAAATAATGAATGGAACGACCAACAGTTTAACGTGAAAACGCAAGAATGAAGAGTAAGGCATAGCAGTATGGTGAAAGACCCGTTAGCCTAAAAAGGAAAAGAGAATTAGTACAAGACTACAACACACCGTCATGTTACTTACATAAATATCTGATCTGGTTAAGTCACGATGCACAGAAAGTCTGTTAGGCTATAGTTCCCGTGCTGACGTGCACGTGTACGTGCGTGCTTGTATAGCATGACTGTGTGTCTGTGTTTGTATTTGGTTGTTTAGCTGTGTGAGTCACTCTTCTGTCTGTCTGTTCGCTTGGCCGTCGGTCCCTCCGTCCGTCCGTCTGTCCGTGTGTCCCTCTGTTAGTGTATCCGTCCGACCGACTGTCCGTCCATCCGCCCGTCCGTCCGTCCGTCCGTCCATCCGTCGGTCCGTCCGTCTATCGGTCCGACCGTCGGGCTGTACGTCTATGCCTCCGTTCGTCCGTCCATCGGTCCGTTTCGTTCAATGTCCATCTCTTTCT